TGCGAGTAATCAGTGGCATCCCTTCGGGTGGAGCTGCGTTGAGGTGATAGGAGGTGGCGGCGGACGCGGGCGGCGTAGCGGCGTAAGTGCGGGGGTTGGGGCGGCGATACCAGCGATACCACCGAACAATGTGATCAAGGGGATACAATTTTGATCAAGACCGTTCATTTCTATAATAACGGTCGGATGCTCATCCTCAACTCGGTCCCGCGTGGTGTTTACTATGCAAGTATGATCCACTTCAGTGGCTCTTTAAGACGCGTGCACGGTATAGATTGATGCCTCGAGATTCGTGTCGTGAAATGTGTTGTGCTTTAATTAACAATATATTAATGTACAGTCAAAGTTAACTAAAATATATGTTAAGCATGATCAACTTTAATCAAGCATTTTTACTATACTTTTACAAGTCATAAATATTAATTAAGGCATATTAATCCAGACAAAAGAAATCAACACAAGATCTTTTTTTTCACTTTGGCAATAAATAATTTTATATTTTAAAGTGTGAATGATAAGGATGAATTTTCAAAAAAAAAAGGTTTTTTTTAATAGCACTTTAAATTTAAAAAATTCATATAATGTATTTTTATAATGTGAAAATATCATTTTCATCTCATAACATATAATTTTTTTGTATATAGGCTTAGCTAAATCGCATCTCCACTTATGTTGTGGATTTGGCCTTTTCTCTTTCTATCGAATTTGATACAGTCTTTTTTCTCTATCTATCTTATGCTTTTTCTCTTATCAATGATTATAATGTGCAAAGTTGATCCCTTCTTTCTTGTGCAAGAGTCATGAATAATACGACTAGAAATAAGATAAAGTAGAGGCATACATGCGTATACGCATATAAAAATTAATAGGAAATAGTGGTAAGATGATTATTCTTAAAAAAAAATTATATAAAATTTTTAAAACTTAGAGCGTTCCACGAGACAAACCTGAAGTTAAATAGTCAAAATTCGTCCCAAAATCAAAATTATTTTCATTAGGAAGTGTGTTTTTCTAAAAAAGAAAAAATTATATAAATATTTTAAGATCATTTTATCCATATTTTTTATATACACAATTTATTCCTCTAATTTTGTATTTCTTGTGCATAGCGAAGGTTACACACGCTGCATATAGGAATTAGGGTTTAGCTTGGGGTACTCGCTTCTCTCCTACAATGGCGGCTGCCACGCTCCACTCCGTACTCCGCCGCAATAGCCTCCTGCCCTTGTTCGAAACCCGCCGCCTTCGAGATCTCCTCTTCTTCTCCTCCTCTGTCGACCGTGCCACCGCCGTATGCGGCACCACATCTCCAGATCCCCACTCCATGGTGGAATACCTCGTGAACTCCTGCGGGTTCTCCCCCTCCGAGGCAGCCATGTTCTCTAAACCCCTCGCGCACCTCCGATCCACCGAGAAACCCGACTCCGTCCTTAACTTCATGAGATCTCAGGGCTTCGATGGCGCCGCTATTAGGAAGGTGATATCTATGAAACCCAATTACCTATGCTACAACGTGGAGACGAACCTCGCCCCGAAGTTTCAGTTCTTACGCGATTTGGGACTATCGGAGTCGGACATCGTCGATGCCATTCTGAAGAACCCTGCTATTCTGCGCCTCGACGTTCACCGTTCCTTGGTCCCCAAATTGGAGATGTGGGAAAGTCTCTTGGGATCGAGAGAGCTCGTTCTCAAGCATCTCAAGAAGCCAACACGGTTTTTCTTCTCCAGCGTTGAGAAGACATTGCATCCTAACCTAAAGTTCTTAACGGATGAGTGCGGCATTCCTGAAGAAAGGGTTTTTCTCGTCTTGAGAAGTCAGCCACAATTAATCACAAATAAACCAAAGTCACTCCGAGCTTTGGTGGCGAGAGCCGATGAGCTGGGGATGCCACGGCAATCTCGGATGTTCCTGTGGACAGTTAATATTCTCCAGAGGGTAAGCAAAGAAAGTTTCGAGGCCAAGGTCGAGTTCATGAGGAGGTTCGGGTGGTCGGAGTCGGAGTTTTCTTCTGCTGTCAGGAAAGCACCCACCTTCATAGGCATGTCCCTCGATACGTTGGGCAGAAAAATGGAATTTTTTATCAATGTTGTCGGTTGCACCCCTTCCTTCATCGCTGACAAATCATATCTCTTGCTATTTAGTCTGCAGAAGAGGATAATTCCTCGGTTTCGTGTCACAGAGATGTTGAAATCGAAAGGATTGTTGACTGGACAAGCCAAGTTTCCATACATTCTCGGATTATCAGATACCAAATTCTTGGAGAAGTTTGTTCTCCCTCACAAAGAAAATGTTCCTGAGCTGCTCGATATTTTGAGAGTTGAGGGCGTGTGTAAAGGAAAATGATACCTTTCATTTGGTATCGGAGGCTGAGAAAGGGCTTAGCTGATGGTCTAATTTGCCAACGACGAAGGTAGATTATCCCCTAATTTGAGATTTTGGAAATAGAATGCAAAGGGCTTATCAAAAGGTGTATTGAGGTGTGGGATTTTTCTTTAATGGCAAGCTAGATTAGCATTGATTATAAATCAAATTTGTTCTGTCTTACTGATTGTTAGCTTAAATTATTTTCGGAATGTCTTTGGCATAGTATTGTTGGTTTGTCTGTAAACTGCATGTTTTAGAAATTCTACATGACAGTCCAACTGAGATGACCTTTGGATCTATTGTAGGGACTTTTGGATTTTGTCCAAATTAATTTCAATTCTGGATTGGTTTTTGTTTGGGTAAGTCCTGATGAGTCATATTTCAGATCAAGTTATGCAGTATATAGAAAATATCACCAAAGATCACAAGAAATTGTTGAGTGGTAGTTGCTCTAATGATTTAAGTGGCTGAAAAACACTTAAACGCCTAAGAGTTGTTTCTGTAATTTCCTTTTAAATGAGTCATCAACCAATATATGGATTTGGATATATCTAAGAAGGTGTTATCTCTTGTCAGTGGAGGCTTCTTTGCAAACTTATTTATTTATGTACTAATTGGATCATTCAAATTTGATTGATGCATTGTAATATTAGTATGCAGTGGCTTCGATGGAATTTGAAAGACCAGTTGCACTGGGTTGATCAGGAGTCACCAGCTCTTCTGAAATGTCTTCAACCTCCTTTGGAATTGCTAAAGCTTTTCTCGCATCAACAAACTCTTGCATGCCTCCATAGGCTTCTGCTCGTCCACTCTTTGTGATTCCAGGTGCAGATCTCTTCATTCTTGGAGTTCATTCTTGGATTTGGTGGATGCAACTTCTCATCATCATAGCTGAAGCTTCTGCTCTACTTGAAAGCTTTTAGAAGGCTGCACAACTAAATTTCTCCAACATCTGAATCGAACTAATTCCCTTGAGTTAGTCTATTCTCTGGTTCCTTCAGAATATTTTGGATGTCATTTTATTTCTTATTTCAAGTCTTTATGTTGTCAATGTGGTCCATGTTTCCCGCATCATGAACCGCACGGCCCATTGGCTAGTCAATCTAGGAAGGGCTGTAAATTCTCTGTTTTTTTGGGTCTTGTAATGATAGATCAGTTTAGCTCAGTATCTAATCTGCTTTAATCTTTTTTGAAATTTCTCCTTTTTTGGTAAAAACAAAACAAAAACTCTAACATGTAAGCTCAGAAGGTGACAATTAAATGTGTATTGCAACATCCTGTAATTGGCTTTAGTTCTTGTTGTAGAGTTTATGAACATTTACATCACTAGTATTTCAGATTTATGCACACTATCTTGTCCCGTTTCTCAACCAGTTTTTTTCTGGTTATCCGTGCCTTTTTTTTGCATGTATTCAGTATCTCATTTCAGATAGGATCATTACATCATCACTCATCTCTATCAATGCGTGAATTGTGTTTTGAATTTTGATATCAGTTGTTTCATCTTTATTCTTTATGTCTTGGATAATAATGTCTCAAATCTTTATGTCAACACAAGTCTTAATTTTGGTCAGACATACATTAATGAAATGAATATATGGAAGGAACTGAAAAAAGTAGAATTCATAAATTTAAATAAGACAAGGAATCAAAGTAAAATTATGCACTTGTATATCATGTTAATGAACCGATGCAACTCATAAATTTAAATAAGAACCGATGCAACGTGAACATACAACAACATATGCATTTTCAAACAAGGATAGGGTATTTATGGATGGATGATCACGAAGTTGGAATGTATAGATTGATGTCTTCAGATTGAAATGTGGCCTGCTATAATTAACAAGTGTTATGTTACAGATATAGTATATTGATGTACAATCAATTTTAATTAAATATCATATAATCCATCATCAACTCCAATTGAGCTTTTTTTTTTTTTGAATTTTTACGAGTCATAAATACTATTCAAGGCATATTAATTTAAACAAAAGAAATCAAGTTTTGAAGGTTCGTATTTTTTTTTTCAAATCTGGTGCAACAATAAATTATTTTTGGATCAAATAAATGATTAATTTTATATTTTTTAAAGATACAAAATCATATAAATATTTTGTAGATCACTTTATCCATAATTTTGATATAAATAATTTATTCCTGTAATTTTAATCTCTCGTGGATAGCGAATGATAGTTGTTGCAATTATGATGCTCCTTTGGCTCTTCTTTATTCTGAAATGATTGTTGCAAAGCTTGTCTTCATCCTTAGTCACGATGACTTCCTATTCCTATTCGAAACTTATCGCTTTCGAGGTTTTCTTTTATTTTTTTTACTTTATCGCCGATTGATTGTGATCATATTACATCAAATTAGCTGAAAAGATAAGGACGATTGAGGATGAACTCAACGTTTAAGAAGAAGAAGATGAATTGCATCATGGAACTACCACTCAAATGCGTCTCATGTCCTTTCGTATACAAGCTAAAGGATGACCTCCTCAAACTGGTGAGTGAATCCATTAGACGATCGATACGGAAGCACCTCTACCAGGCGCATTCCACGCCAGGGAGCATCCCTATCATCATCAAACAATAGTACATCTGTTGACCTATGTATGAATATATAACATGAAAAGGGAAACACTTAGCTAGCTTTCAACTCTTCTTCTTCCTCCCTTGAGAACTAACGGGGGATGCCGAGTGAGATAATGGGGGATGCAGGAGGCCACATAAAGAAGAGGAAGAATGATTCTGGAGGTCTTGGCAGTCAAGAATCATCCCTGCTTTAGCTCAATACATTCTACAATAACAAACCAACAAAGTGAGTTTTCATAGGTACATTTTGATATCTGTATTTTGATATCCATGAACATGCATTGATACATACATTAATTGTTAGGATCGGAGCGGTACTAAGAGGGGGGGGGGTGAATTAGTGCAGCCGATTAAAACTTGTAAGTTTGAAAATGACTTCACAAATGCGTAGAGATTTCAATTCGACAATAAATGACTTGGAGAAAGTAGCTCGAGTAAAGTGAGAAGATGAAAATCGAAAGCTTGCTGCTATGTAAATAACGGTTTCAGAAAGGTAAATACTCACACATTCAAGGAATACATCAATTTAAAGTGGTTCGGTCAAAATAATCTACATCCACTTGCGAAGCCTTTTTCGATAAGGCTCTCAACTTTCACTAGCAAATCACTTTAAAGGGGAAGGACAAATACCCCTCTTACAACCTTTTACAAGTGGTTCATACTCTTACATATTTTCAAAGAGAAGGAGGGAGGTGAACACTTAAGCTATTGAAAACAAGACTTGCTAAAGACTTTCTTAAGGCTTTTTCTCAATTTATAACTTCTCAAAAGGTTGTGTCCTCTACTGAGAATTGAGGGGTATTTATAGGCCCCAAGAGGATTCAAATTTGGGCTCCAAATTTGAATTACTTTTGGGTTTTCCAGTGCTGGCGGTGCCACCGCCTGTCAGTGTCTGACACTAACAGTGTACTGGCGGCGCCACCACCTGATCTCTCGGGTTCTGGGCAGTGCCACCGCTCGTCCTTACGGGTCATTGGTTGGGCTCCAAATTTGGCCCAAACCAGTTCATATTAGGGCCTAGTTGGCCCCTAACCAGGTTATAGGATTAACTCTTAATCCTAACCCAAATTACATGCAAATTATGAGATTAAGACATAGTCCTAAGCAGGTTTTTAACCGGCAACGTCGAGTTTCCTTCCGGTGAGCTTTCCGACGATCTTCCGACGGACTTTCGATACACCCTCGGATTTCTTCCGGCGGACTCCCAACGGGCTCCCGATCTTGTGGCGAGTTCAGCGAGTCCTTGGCAAGTAGTCGAACCTTCTCGGTGATCTCCACGAACCTCCGACGATCTCTTCGGCGGACTTCCGAAAACTTCGGCAAGTTCCCGATTTCTTATCGGTTGGTTCTGGCAACACTTCCGACGAATCTTCGGACTCTCGGCAGACTCTCGAACACCCATCGAACTTGACTCCGGTAGACTTGCTTTATGTCTTCAAGCTATCGTAGTTAATCCTGCATACTTAAAACAAAACTTCGATCGAGACAAGTAATCCTAAGTAATTAATCAAGTTGTCCGGTATGTCATTGGTCCCTTGACGCTTCGTCCGATTCTTCGGCGCATCATCCTCTCTTGCGGTCTATTGCCGGCTAGTTGACTCTGTAACTCATCGTATGCGATCAAGGATTGTCTAACTTATTTGGTAGTTATGGCATAAGATATACTACCAAATAAGTTAGACAATCCTTGATCGCATAAGATGAGTTATGTTTAACCACATAAGTTAGATCGTACTTGATCACATAGATTGAGTTATGTCTAACTACATATATTATATTATATTTGACTAAATAGATTGTGTTATTTTGAACCACACGAGTTGAATCAGACTTATCACATAGATTGAGTAATACCTAGTCACGTCGGTTAGATTGTACTTAACCACATAGGCTAATTTGGTCAATCAACTTAACCAAGGTTAAATATCTAATTTGACTCGTACTTGTTCAATTAGATTTTAATATTTTAAAAAATATTTTTAAAATATTATAAAATAATAATTAATCATAAATCTATTAATTTTCATAAATTAACTAATTTAGATTTATGTTCCAAATTTAAAAGTAATTAAACCATAAAAATTCATGCTTAATTATTTAAAACATAAATATACTTTCAATGATCATTATTTATTAATCATAAAATTTTAAAATAAAAATATTATTTTTATAACATATAAATTAAAATAATTCTAATATTAAATATTTTTAAAAATATAAATAAAAAAAATCTACTCTCCTCCTCCTGATCATTTCCTCTTAGAACCCTTCCCTCTCGGAGCTAGGAACGAGGAAAGATGGGCTTGAGCTCTTCATAAAAGATAAATAATAATTTTAATAATTTTCTTAATCATATTATATAAATAAAAATATTAATTTAAATAAAGTAATACATGATTTAAAGTAATTAATTGATGTTAGAAATTTATGGATGATTACAAAAGTCACGACTTAATTGGATGATCTGCATGATTAGTAAGCTAATAAATTATCTGCAGTCAATCAAGCTAACCTAACAATTACAAGATCTTTTGAATGTTGATAGTTGCAATTTGTTAACTATGTAATCAAACAAAGAAGACAAAATTCAGAATATGCTATAAGCTCCTGAAGTTTCAGAATACCTAACATCTATAAAAAGGGAAGAGTTTAGATGAAGCATTATGAAAACGATGTAAAAGTATAACATGAAAATGCACCAAGGAATATATATATATATAT